TGATGGGAGATGGTGTCAGTAACTCAGCAAGAACATAGCTGTCACTGGGCCTGGGTGTTTCCTCTTACCCAGCAAAGTCCTGTGCATGCTCTTCCGACTTTTTATTCTTCTCCTGCATCTCTCTCCATCATTTCCTCAAAGGGAGGGGGCACTGTGGTTTTCTGAGCGCTGGCTTCCCGAGAGCTTCCTTGTCTTTGGAGAGGAGGTGGGTGATGCTGACAGTCGGCTGGGGGCAGATGTAAATGCCCTTTGGCTTTGATACTCTCTTAACTTGCACCTTCTCTGTTTCCTTAGGAGGGTGCAGGCGGGCTTTATTTTGATTGTTCTTTGACATTGATGGAAACACCCACACGGAGCAGAGCCGGCCCTTCCCCTTCTTCTCGCCTCCCTACAGCTGCAGGGTTTAACTCCCCTTTCATAATCAGAGATAAATGTGTGCGGTTTTAACGCTCTAACTACTGAAGGGCCAAGGTCAAGGAATTTCCTGTTGTAGCCGACTCACACCTGTATTGGGACAGCTACACTTCTAAGATTTTTATCTCATCTTATTTGCTGAGAGAAGGATAAAAAGCCAGATTCCAGGTGGCATCAAAAGCAAGGAGTACCCACTCTGCCCTCGATTCCAGTCAGGTTAAAAATAAAGTTCAGTAACATTACTTCGTTTTTACCTTATACGTGTTTTTGTGTATTAGGTGGGCAATAGATGGTCATGTTTTAAAAGCTTAAAACAGAAAATTAAAAGGATGTACGGGGAATCTCCTTGCACCCGCGCCCTCCAGCTACCGCCCACAGTCAGTTACAGTTTCCAGCCCCAGAATGACTTTTAAATGTGTGTTGCCGTGTAGCCACAGGATAATTGATGATGAACTGTTCCTTCCTGCCGATGTGAATTCACATCACCCTTAACCGGAGAGGCCTGTGAGGCAGCATCTTCCTGCCAACATAGCCGGAACATTAGCGGGTCACTTAGAGCACAGACGATGTCATGTGTTTTCGGGGTTCAGGGTTGAGCATCGCCGGCAACGTTGGGGTTTCTGACCCTGAGCTCCCCCACAGGGATCCTTGCGGGTAGCCTTGGTTTTGCTTCCACAGCCTGTAGGGAGCGGGGAGGGCAGGCCCGCGACAGTGACGGCAGGTGATGGTGGCTTATGAGGCAGCCAGGGCTGCCGTAACGAACACCACAGCTTCAGCAACAGGTATGTAGTCCTCATTTCTGGGGCTGAGGTCCAAGATCAAGGTGTCAGCAGGATTGGTTTCTCCTGGGCGTGGCTTGTAGATGGCCACCCTCTCGCTGTCTCTTCACATGGTCATCCCTCTGTGTGCTGTTTTCCTCTTGTAAGGGTGCCCATCACACTGGATTGGGGTCCACCTGGACAGCCACATCGCACCTGAATCACCTCTCTAAAGGCTGTCTTTCCAAATACAGCCACATTCTGAGGTCTGGGGGGTTTTTAGATTCCAACATGAATTTGGGGGGGGGGACACAGTTCAGCCCGTAACAGTAGTTAATCTCCTTTCTTGACCCTGACTGCTGACTTTTGTCTGTGGAGTCTCCATACCTTACGTCAGATTCTCAGAAAGGGGGCTTTGCCCCAAAAGATGAAAATCAAACGATCTAAAGGAATCTGGCAGTAGTTCTTTTGCTACAGTAAAGGCTGTCCGGCCGTGCTTCTGGTGCGCCCACCAGGGTGCCTCGAGGACATGCAGGCTGATCCTGCCTGCAGCGGGATGTTTTAGAGCTCTGATCGCCCTCCAGGGACATCCGGAAATCTGCGTCTGACCCCCAGGTTGCCGAGGGGACCTGGACAACGATCAGAGGACCCAGGGGATCAGGCCTGGGTCAGAGGAGACTTGGGGTCTTTAGGACTGAAGGGCGTGTTGCAGGTGCACCCGATGGAGCCGATGGCAGAGATGTCTGTGCTGGTCAGTACTTTGTGAAGAGTAGCAACTGCGTGCAGTCCCGTCGTTTTCTTGACCTTCTCTCTTCATGGACATTTCTTACCTGCGTTTCACTTGTTCTGCTCTTTCAAAAAGTGCTTCAGTGAATTATCATATTTTCTCAGACGTAACTTTTCTCATTTATCTGTAAAAGTTGCTAAAACTGAATTGCCAAGTCTGAAGATGTGTATTTGTAAATTATGTCGATGATCACAAATTGCCTTCCCAAGGGGTTTTCCCTTTACCCCCGGAGTGCAGGAGCAAACACCGCACCCCCCAGCGCTGAGTAGTATCTAACCTTGGGCCTGGGGCCGTGTGAGAGAAAAGTGGGACCTTGCGTGCTTGCCTCGTTAGGAGTGAGGAGAGCAGCCGTACCCTGAAGAACTGCTTGTATCTTGTGAGCTGTCTTACGCCCTTTGCTTTTCTGCGGGGTGGTGGTTCCTTTTCCCTTTGATTCTCTGTTAGGGAACTTGGGTTTTTCCCATTTGTGTTAAACGAGTCCATCCACTGCGGCTGCCCTGTCACCCGGCCGTGCCATATAGCGTCGCGTGCTGAGCGAGACACTACGGGTGAGCCTCGGCCGACAGGCTCCCCCAGGCCGCCGTCCAGAGCTGCCACGGGCGTGCTTGTGTGCAGACCGGGGTCTGCGGGAGGGCAGCTGAGGGCAGGTTCGTAGGTGTCCTGTCTGGTCCCTGGAGCAGTGTGGTTTCCTACCACAGCAATTTTTTCCATTCTCCGCCTTGAATTTTTTTGGTTCATGTAAAAATTTGGGAACCTCAGAGAAGGCCAAAGTGGGAACAAAAACAAATCACTCTGAATCTCATCATCCAGAGATCCCTAGCGAGAGACACCGCGCGGCCCTCCAACAAGGCGTTTGCCTCCCCGGCACCTGCCTTCCCCCTGAGACAGTTTCTTCGCGGGATCTGTTTCTGCCCCTGGAGACCTGTTTGTCCTCCTAGAGATCACCTCCTCCCAGGCCGTGAGGCCACGGACCTGACCTCTCTTTGGATGAGGGTGATTCTTAACCGAGGGGGTGTGCCCACTGTTAGGCCTCTTGACCCCTGGGTCCCTCGCAGTCACACTGACCACTTCTGTGAAGCGTGGGTGCGGGCGCAGGGCCTGCTGGTGGTAGGGAGAGTTGGCGGCCAGCTTGCTCTCGCTCTGTAGGTGGCAGCTCTGGACTTGCTAGAAGGCAGACACGTGGGTAAACTGCCACTTCTGTGTGCGTTCCGCGGGTGGGTAGGGATTTCACTCTGGACGTGGGCACGGGGGTGTCCATGCAGCCTGCCGCACTCCTGGGTCCTGGTTCCGGAGCTCCTGCCCTTCTGCCGGGGTGGCACGGCCAGCGCCCAGGGCTCCTGGGGGGCTCTGGCTGTTCTAGAAGGGTCCTGGCTCGTGCAGGGTCTGAGGAGGGAGCAGGGGGTCTGCGTGGCGTTGGGCTTCTTAATGAGAGAGTTTAGGTGAGGCCTCCTCGGGCGCGGGGTGGGGCGGGTGTTCAGACGCCTGGTCCCCGTGACCGTGCCTGGGTCCCCCTACCCCGAGGCCTGTGGGTGTGGACTGAAGGGAAGGTGCCGTGTTGTTTTGTTTCTGGAAGGTTGTGTGTCGGGGCTTCTTTCCACGTGAGACCCAATAACACTCGGGGCCGTAGACCTTAGCGGTCTCGGTGCTGGGCGTTTTCCCTTTAGTCGTTCTCTCTTGGCTTTTAAGTTGGTATCAACAGAATAACTTTGTGTAGGAAATGCTTGCATTAGGTGGTGTGGAAGGCATGATGTGATTGGATGAAATTAAGGAACCAGATTACAACTGCAGGACCTCCCTCGTGTTGCAGCCTTCGGATAATGGGGCCAAGGGGCTGGGCCGGGGCGAGCTCAGGGCAGGGGTCATGTGTCTCCCGTTGCCTTTTCTTGTGCATTTACCCTGAGCTTAGCGCCTTTCCTCTCTGATTACGCTTTTGCGGGAGAGCAGGGTGAGTTGAAGTCGCCTGGGCGACGACATGCAGTGGGCGGTCCCCCCCATGCTGGTCGAGTGGACGTCACCCTGGAGGGGGTGCAGCAGCTCTTCACCTTTGGGGCACAGACCCCTTTGGGATCTGATGGGCCGCCTCAGAATGGCACCCACCCTCAGTACATCTGACGTCCAGTTCATCCACATTTGACCGGCCGGGGCCCCGAGCGGCTGTGGGACCTGCTCACGGCTCAGAGCTCGCTCTAGCGGCCCTTCCTCTGTCCCTGGCAGGGAGGAGGGGGCCACACCCACCCTGGGGGGGCCTGGGCCTTGAACCCAGTGACTCTGTGGAGCAAGGGAAAGTGCTGAGGCCCCAGACCTTGCGGAGGCCGAAGGTTGGTGCCCCCGGGGCTCGTTCTGCTGGGGCGGCATGGCCAGCCACCAATGGTCCTGTCCGCCACCTGTGTCCTGATGCCCATGGGTCCCAATTCCTACACCTGTCCTGCACAGCTGAGCCACGTCCTGGAATCGTTGCCAGGACGGGTTTAGCCTGAGAAGCTGGAAGCCCCCAGCTGGCAGAGGACAAAGGGGCGAGATGCAGAGTGGGAATGGGGGGGCTGCAGTGGGGAGGGGGCCGGCTCTGGAGGGCTCACTTCCTCCTGGGGTGGGCGAGCTCATTGGGATGCAAGCCTGTTGCCTCCCGAGGACTGTCCTAGGCCGGTGCCCCCTAGGAGGTCGTGCCTCCCCCTCCGCCCCCCCCAGGCCGTGGCCGCGCGCCGCGCAGGTGCTCAGTGGGCCCGTTAGGCTGTGCAGCTGTGTTGCTGGTGCAGTACAGACCGTTTGTTTAAATGACGGGCGCGCTGCGAGTTCTGATCAGTCTTGACCTGGGGTCTGATTCCCTTTCCTTGTTGTTGTTTCCCCACGTTCATGGCATCACGCCACCGGACCGAGGAGTGGGGGCCGTCCAGCAGCTGCCGAGCCCCGTGGCGGCGCCTGGAACCCAGCAGGGCCTCCCGCTCGCTCCTCTGTCCTCTCGCCCCTCCCTCGGCCCTCCCTCCCGAAAGGCGAAAGGCGGAAGGCGGGCGAGGCTCTGATGGGCCCTGCGTGGGGGGCGTAACGTTCAGTTTCCGTTTCAGGCTGACGTCTGGAGTCCGGCTGCTGTGAGCTGGGTGTCGTCTGCACGGACGTTAGCTCTTTATGGGGACAGTGGGTCTCCTTCCAGCCCTCGGGTGACGGCAAAGCTGAGGCCGGCCCTTCTGTGAAGAGGCCACGCGTGTAGATAAACGGAAGGCGTTTGTGTGTAAAGCAGCGTTATGGCTTGCCTCTAACGTAGGATGAAAAATACGGGCACCTTGTCGTGGAGAGCCTAGTTTGCTACCTGGAAGACGTCCCAGTAGAAACAAAATGAAAAATGGTAACAGGAGGAACCGGCATGACCCCGACCCGGGGCGAACGGGCCGGCGGTGGGGCCTGTGTCACCACTTGTGGTTTTGCTCCTCGTGGCTGATGTCGTTACTGAACCAGCTCGCAGACGTGACAGCTCTTGTGGCCCCGGATCAAGGATTTGGACTTGTGATGCGCCTCCAGCTCTCAGCATCGCGGCCCTCCCGTGTGCTCACGAGCAGCGCGTGCAGGATCCCGGTCCAGGCGGCAGAGCCGGCGGTGGGTGGGCGGCGCGGAGGGCGGGGTCCTGGATGGGAAGCCACAGGGGCAGGAGGGCCCTCCGCAGCTGTGGTCGCGGCCCAGAGCGCATTGGCGTTTAGGAAGCTGGCTGCTGTTGTGTCCCCCACCCCCCAACGCACGACGCGCGGGGAGGCCGGGGAGCCCCGCCCCCAGCACTCTATCAGGACAGCCTTCAAACACACTGTCAGGCTGAGCGGGTCTCACGTTGGCCACGTCGAAACCCACCACTCAGATTCTGCCATTAGCACATTTTTAAAAGAAAAGATATTGCGAAAGTAAGTTTTGTCTGAGGCATTGGCTCTGTTTCCATCCCTTATGTTTTTGGCACCATCTTCGGTAACTGCCACATGGCGGGAGCCTTGCGGGTCAGCGGGCGGCCCTGGCGCCGACCCGTAGAGGCCTAACGTGGGCTTCTCTGGCCTTGTAGGACTGTGGTGAGGAGGTGCACAGCCCTGACCTTCACGGCCTCTGAGGATAAGGTTCTGGTAGCAGACAAGTCTGGGGACGTTTATTCCTTTTCGGTGCTGGAGCCGCACGGGAGCGGCAAGCTTGAACTGGGACACCTGTCGATGCTGCTGGATGTGGTACGTGGGCGACGTGCTTCACTGGCTACAGTCCGGCTCAGGGGACGAGGAGGGGGCGGCCTGTGTGCCAGGTGGGCGGGTTTGGGCTCTGCTGTGGGCAGGGCCCCGATTTCAGAGGTGAAGCTGGCAGCAGGCTGAAGGAGGACGGTCAAGTTAGGGGCAGCTGTGTGGTCTAGACGTGGGGGAGGCCCAGGTCGGGGAGACGACGGGGAGGGGTGTGGAAAGAGCAGGCGTCCTCGGAGCCCCCGAGCCACGAGCTGCGCCCCCAGGGGCCCCGAGAGGCCCACGAGGGCTGGGCGGCGGGGGCGGGGTGGGACCCTGCAGGGGCTCACAGGACCCGGGGGGGTCGTGAAAGACAGATCACCAGGACTCAGTGGCGGGCTGGACATGGGGACACGTGAAAGGAAGGAGAGGAAGGCGACCAGGTGCCGGAGACGGGAGTGGGCGTGGCCGGGCTGGGGCGGGAGCAGGTGTGGGGCAGCTGTGGCCCTCGGGGGACACATAAGCTGAGGCCTGGGGTGGCGGGGGGAGCCGGCCATGCTGACCCGCCCCTTCTAACCCTCGTGCACAGGCCGTGAGTCCCGACGACCGCTATGTCCTCACTGCCGACCGGGACGAGAAAATCCGGGTGAGCTGGGCTGCGGCTCCGCACAACATCGAGTCCTTCTGCCTTGGGCACACCGAGTGAGTGTCCCCCGTCCCCCCACCGAGTGTCCCCCGTCCCCGTTCCCCCACCGAGTGAGTGTCCCCCGTCCCCCCACCGAGTGAGTGTCCCCCGTCCCCCCACCGAGTGAGTGTCCCCCGTCCCCCGACTGAGTGACCCCTGTCCCCGCACCGTGTCCCCTGTCCCCGTCGCCCCAACTAGTGAGTGTCCCCCGTCCCTGTACCCCCACCGAGTGAGTCCCTCACCCTCCACAGAGGGAGGCTCAGGTTTGAAACGCAGGTGGACCCTTCAGCTGGGGAAGCTGGTGGCGAAGTGAGAGGTGCCTCCTGGGAGGCGGGGACCAGCCTGGACGGCCTGGCCTGCATCGGTTTGCTTCCTCATGGCGCCCCGTCTAGCTCACCCCCTGGTCCCAGGGCTTCAGAACCTTCAGGACCTCCTTCCCTGTTCAGAATGCATTTCCCAGAGGTTTTCTTGGGGGCACCGAGGTCTCAGTCCCCAGTGCGTGGTCACCGCAGGCCAGCATTGATGCCCTTCAGCGCCTGGCAGTAGGGTCAGCGGTCAGTGGGGGTGTGTCGGGGGATGAGGAACATGCTTCAGCAATTGAAATCGTCCAGGCAGGCGTTGTTGCTCTGTGATCTGTCTTCTGGCAAGTGAGCGCTCCTTTAGTAAGTGAAGTTTGACGTCACGTGAGGGTGGCGTTTCTGAAGAGTGTCGCTCTTCTGAGGCAGAAGGCTGGTTACAGTTTGCAGGAAGGAAAAGCACTTAGTTTAACTGGCTGAAGCGTTTTAAACTGCGTTATTTGAGGCAGGGGAAGAATTGGAGGGATTTAATTCAATTCTGAGATCGCTCCTGTTTCCTGGTGTTTGAATGGAACGTAAACGTTGACCTTAAAGGGCGATGGTTGCTGGCTTTGTACGTCACGATAGCATTGTTTTAGCTTTTATTCAGTTGTCTAGTGATCCTGCGAGCAGAGTTCCTGTGGCCGGCCAGCCCCCCGCCCCGTTGCCGTCTCTCGGAGGCCTTTGCTGCTCCCCACCCCACTGGGCACACTGTGCCTCGGGGCCTTTGCATGTGCCATTTTCTCCACCGGGCAAGCTCTTGCCCACGCTGCCCAGCGCCCTCCTTCACTCAGCTTTCCGCCCGATGCCACCTGCCCTCTCAGGAAGCACCGCTCCCCCCGGCCCCTCCCTGCTGGGCTTCTCAGCCTGTGCCGGCCGGTTCAGAGCCATGAGCCGCCAGGTCTCAAGTGAGGTGTGCCAGCAGCTAGCGTAAAACGCCTGATTCCAGAGACAGTGTGAAAAACAGTGTAAAAATAGCTCATTATTAATTTGTTATATTGATTGCAGGTTGAGATGATAACATTTTGGGTGTATTGAGTTAAGTCAAAACATAGTATTAAAATTAGTCTCACCTGAGTCTGTTTACCTTTTTAGTGTGGTTATCAGGAGATGTAAAGTGCCCTTGGTGACTCACACCATGGCTGGGGCCGTGTTTCTGTTGGACGGGCCTTTCCGAGCCTCCGCGGACACCCAGGGTCTCCTATGGCCTGTCTCCCGCCGAGTCCTAGACTTGGGGGGGGGGTGTCTTTGTCAGGTTTGCTCACTGCTGTCTGCAGCCCTCAGCACAGCGCCTGGCACGCAGTAGGTGCTCAGTGGATATTTCGGCGAATAAATGACCAATCGTTGCTCCTTAAGAGTCTTGGTGAAGGCCCTGGAAACTGTGGTTTCCACTCCTTTCCTGTAAAGACATCGAGGTGGCTCGTACCCGCTGTCGTGGACCTGCCATTGCGGGGGGACACAGGCTGCATTCATCCTGCAACGTGTTCTTGTTCCTTTTTGAGGGCCTTCGGGGAAGGCTGTCCTGGGGAGGGAGGGTGGCTGCAGCCAGGCCGGGGCCCAGGCCGGGGTGAGGCTCCAGGCGGCTGGGATGGGAACCGGTGGAGGCGAGGGAGCCACGGGGGCCCCCCCTCCCAGGGTGGTCGCGTTAGAGATGCTGGTGCACGCCTGCAGCCCCGAGGCTGCTTTCTTGGGGGGGCTGGGTTGCTCGGCTGAGGCTTGTGGGTGTGGCCCTGGCTGCGGTCCGTGGCGCTGCCCCCTCCACCCGGCCCTGCTCGCAGGTCGCCCTGGCGTCACAGACCCCGTTGAAGCGCGTGGTTGGGCAGCTCCCGAGCAGGGCAGAACCCCGGGGGCCTTCCTGGCAGGCGTGGCCGGAGACTGCCTCTGGGCCCGAGTGATGGGGCGTGCTCCCCACGCAGCCACACTACCCCTCTCGGCTTCTGTTGGGATCAGGCTCCGAGGTGACACGGGCGGGGCAGAGTCACAGCAGCCCGGCTCACCCTCTGCCTCTCTCCACCTGTAGGTTTGTGAGTCGCATCTTCGTGGTGCCCGACCATCCCGAGCTGCTCTTGTCCTCGTCCGGGGTAAGTGCTCTGCTCCCCACGGGCGCCCCGGCTCCCCGTGGTGGGGGTGCAGCCTGGAGCCTCGGTTGGGGGAGGACCTGTCAGCGAGCAGCCTGTCTTCTGTTCCCAGCGTGGTGGTTGGGAGGTCAGCACGTGCCTTTCCTGGGTGGCCGTCCACTAGGTGGTGCTTGTGGTCTGCAGGGTAGAGCTGGCCGGCGTGTGTGTGTGTGTGTGTGTGTGTGTGTGTGTGTGTGTGTGTGTGTGTGTGTGTGTGTGTGTGTGTGTGTGTGCGCGCGCGCGCGCACACGCTGAGCCAGAACCGCTGTGCAGACGGCCCTTTCCAAATCCCAGAGGGACCTGGTTCCCTCCGGTCCTGCCGCTCTCATGCCTTGTCCCTGACCCGCCCCTGTGTGAGCGCGTGGAGAGGGGCCAGGCACTCGGCCTTGGAGGTTTGAGCAGTAAGTACAGCAGCTCTGCCCCAGGGGCCGGAAGCCTTAACAGCTGAGTGATCGGTGGCACCTTTCTCTAAGGAACACTCTTTAGAAGGGTCATCAGGCAGTACTTTTGCTGAAGTGCAGGTTTTGCGTTCCTAACTGGCTCTGATTCTTCTTTTCTTTTCAGAAGCTCTGCCCACAGCCCTTTATCTTTGTCTTTCCACCCTTTAGCTTTTTATGCAACTCAGGGGCCTGGGGTGGGCTGGGGGCCTCATGGACTCCTGACAGGCAGGCCTTCCAGGCAGTGGCCACGTCCCATTTCCTTCACCAAGTGTGGTTTCTCACAGGTTTTTACTTTTCCCTTCTCTTGAAAGTGACTTGTGAAAGTAAAGAGAAGAAAATAAATGTGCTGGAGTTCCCAGAGATAGCCAGTTTCTGTGAATTTTGCTGTAAGCCTCTTTTACAATAAAAAAAAATACTCAGCCACACAGAAAAGCGTAGTGACCACCTTTGGTCTTACCACTTAGCTTTGTCAAGTCCAGCGTTTTGCTTCTACTCCTTTTTACAGAACTGCAGTAGGGCTGGCGCTGGCCGTCCTGGGTGCCCCATCCCATTGCCTTCCTACCTCCTCACGGGCCACGCGGCCCAGGCGTGGTATGCTGCGTGCCCTGCATGCTGTGAAGTGCAGATTGTAGGTCGATTTAAAGAGTCAGGTGCTGCTGTAAGGCTTAGAGTGGAAACTAGTACTCCACCCGCCATGGCCTCCAAGGCAGGTCCTGGGAGCCTTCAGCTGTGTCCTCTTGATGGCCGGTGTTTCCAAACAACACGAGTCATCAAGAAACAAGCACGAGCAGTTTCTTCGTGTCAGCTGCTGCCATCTGCATGGGAATCAGCAGTGTCCTGCCTGCGTCCCCTCCCTCTTTGCTGGTGGGCTCCTTGTCTCCAGAACGTGCCCCCCGACCTTGTTTGGGGTACATGTCATGGGGCAGCTTTCTGAAGGTGCAGGGAGGGTGGTTAGGAAGGAGCCTGCCTTTCAGGAGGTGCCCTTCTCCCGTCTCCAGCACTCGGTTATCAGGCAGGTGTGTGATGCTCAGTCAGATGTTTCCCCGCAGATTGTCGAACCGTTGCTCCAGGCTTTTCTCTGGTTTTTAGTTTGCTTGGTTTTCTGCCTGCTTTTTCTTTTGAGAAGTCTGCGGCCATTGAGTCTGGGTCCTTCATGTGGGCTCTGATCGCCCTTCTCTCTGGCTGTTTTCTGGGGGCCTTCTCACCCCGTGCTCTGAAGAATGATGGAGCAGGGCGGGGGTGTCATGGGGGCCCTGAAATTAGCTGCACAGTCAGTGGCTCTTTCCGTTCTGAGTCTTCAGGTCCAGAGACCTGGGCGTTTCCTTAGGCTCCCTCCCTCTGGAGCCGTCCGCGCCTCACTCTTCCTGGGATTTGTGCAGTTGGATGTTTGACCCGCTGACTCTTGGTTCTTTCCTTTCATATTTTTTCTCTCATGTGCCTGCTCCCTGTTCTGCTTTGGGGGAGATTTTCTCAACTTTATTTTCCAGACTTCTGTGGGCATGTTCATTTCTGCTGTGGTTTCTACTTTCCAAGAGGCTCTTTCTCGTCCTTGGGATATTCTCTCTTCATAGCCCCCATCCTTGCATCCTGAATGTAGACTTTGGATCTCCTTGAGGTGCTGTGACGTGTGTTTTTTTTAGGGATTTTCCTGTGTGTGTTTTCTTTCCTCCCTGTGTGTCACACACCTTTCCAGCTGGAGGTTTTCCTCGATGTCTGGTGGTCCGTCCGCTTATGGCATTGGGGCTGGGTTTGCGAGCCCGGGTGTCAGACTCGGGCACCCGGCTGCATCCCTGTGGGAGCCCTCCTGGGTCAGTCAGTCCTCCTTTTCTCGTGGGGGTGGGGTTCGGTGTCCTGTCTTCACCCTTTGTGGGGAGGGGCCCCGTGTCTCTTCTCTACATGTGTCCCAGCGTCCCCGAGACCAAGGCCTCTTGTTCCCATCTGTCCCCAGCATCTGGGTTCTGTCTGCATCTACCCGTGATTGGCTTTGTCCTGTAGGGCTCTGCTCTAAAACACCCCTTGTCGCCTGGGGGGACTAGAGGCGAGTGGGGACACCTGTAGATGTGCGTTCGTCTCCCTGTTTATCAGCCATATTGACGGCAAGGCATTCATACTCACATCCCAGCACCCGGAGATTCCTGCCTTAACCATTTGGGGGAAGCTAATTTTCCTCTCTCTCTCGGTCATTTAAATCACACAGAGGTTCTTCTCATCAGACTTCGTATTTGCTCCGCAGGTGGATGTGATCTGTGCATGTCTGGTTATAGTAAAGGGATCCCACTCACAAGAGCGGTTTTTCTGAGGCGGATGCTGGCGTGGACCCTGCTTCGTTTCAGTCATTGTCTGGTCCTTCTCTTTAGATGTGTGGTTCTATTTCCTGCCGTCCTCATGAGTGTTGTAACAAACGTTCCTTAATATAACCCTCTCCTCTTTTCTGTATTACGGAGGTAACGTTGGTTTATAACGTGTGAGTTTCACGTGGACAACGTTGCATTTTGACTTCTTTATACATTACAGTGTGCTCACCACCGAAAGTTTAGTCACCATGCGCCACAATACCGTACAGTTGAGTCGCTTCAACTCATCTTGCCCTCCCCCCACCCCTTCCCCCCTGGTAACCACTACTCTGTTCTTTGTATCTGCATGTTTGTTTCTGTTTTGCTTGTTTACTTTTTATATTCCACGTATATTCCACGTATGAGTGAAATCATATGGTATTTGTCTTTCTCCATCTGACTTATTTCACTGAGCGTAATACCCTCCAGGTCCATCCATGTTGCTGCAAATGGTGAGATTTCATTCTTTTTTATGGCTCAGTAATGTATTGTGTGTGTGTGTGTGTGTGTGTACCACATTTTTCTGTTGATGCGCACTTCGGTTGCTTCCAGATCTTGGCTATTGCAAATAATGGGGCAGTGAACAGAAGGGTGCGTATATCTTTTCAAATTAGTGTTTTTTGTTTTCTTCTCAGGGGTGGAATTGCTGGATCATATGGTAGCTCTATTTTTAATTTTTTTTTTTTTTTTCGGTACGCGGGCCTCTCCCATTGCGGAGCACAGGCTCCGGATGCGCGGGCTCAGTGGCCATGGCTCACGGGCCCAGCTGCTCCACGGCATGTGGGATCTTCCCGGACCGGGGCACAAACCCGTGTCCCTTGCATCGGCAGGTGGACTCTCAACCACTGCGCCCCCAGGGAAGCCCTATTTTTAATTTTTTGAGGAACCTCCACACTGTTTTCCACAGTGGCTGCACCAGTTTACATTCCCACCAACAGTGCACGGGGGTTCCCTTTTCTCTACATCCTTGCCAACATTTGTCATTTGTTGTCTTTTTGGTAGTAGTCATTCTGGCAGATGTGAGGTGATATCTCATTGTGGTTTTGATTTGCATTTCCCTGGTGATTAGTGATGTTGAGCACCTTTTCATGTGCGTGTTGCCCATCTGTATGTCTTTAGAAAAATGTCTATTCATAGTCTCTGCCCATTTTTTTAAAAATAAATTTATTTATTTATTTATTTATTTTGGGTTGTGTTGGGTCTTCGTTTCTGTGCGAGGGCTTTCTCTAGTTGTGACAAGCGGGGGCCACTCTTCATCATGGTGTGTGGGCCTCTCACTGTCGCGACCTCTCTTGCTATGGAGCACAGGCTTCAGATGCGCAGTAGTTGTGGCGCACGGGCCCAGTTGCTCCGCGGCATGTGGGATCTTCCCAGACCAGGGCTCGAACCCGTGTCCCCTGCATTGGCAGGCAGATTCTCAACCACTGCGCCACCAGGGAAGCCCCTTCTCTGCCCATTTTGAAAGGTTTTTTGTTGTCGAGTTGTAGGAGTTCCTTATCTGTTCTGGTTATTAACCACTTATCAGATATATGACTTGGAAATATCTTCTCCTATTCGGTTGGTTGTCCTTTTGTTGATCGTTTCTCTTGCTGTGTAGAAGCTTTTTAGATGGAAATAGTTCCATTTGTTTATTTTTGCTTTTATTTCCTTTGCCTGAGGAGATATATTCAGAAAGATATTGCTAAGATCAATGTCAAGGAGCGTACTGCCTGTGTTTTCTTCTAGGAGTCTTATGGTTTCAGGTCTTACGTGTAAGTCTTTAATCCATTTCAAGTTCATTTTTGTGTATGGTTTGAGATTGTGGACCAGTTTTATTTTTTTGTATATGGCTGTTCAGTTTACCCCACACCATTTATTGAAGAGACTGTCCTTTCTCTGTTGTATGTTCTTTACTCCTTTGTTGTAAATTGTCCATATGTGCATGGGTTTATTTCTGGGCTCTCAATTCTGTTCCATTGATCTGTGTGTGTGTTTTTCTGCCAATACCATGCCATTTTGATTATTGTAGTTTTGCAGTATAGTTTGAAATCAGGGAGCGTGACACACTCTAGCTTTGTTATTCTTTCTCAAGATGGCTTTGGCTATTTTGGGTCTTTTGTGTTTTCATATAAATTTTAGGATTCTTTTGTCTTATGTTTGAAACATGTTGTTGCGATTTTGATAGTGATTGGAGTGAGTCTTCAATTGTTTTAGTTAATAATGTACATTTTAACAATGTTAATTTTTCTAATCCATGAGCAGGAATATCTTTCCATTTGTTTGTGTTTTCAGTTTCTTTCTACAATGTCTTATACTTTTCTGAGTACAGGTCTTTCATCTCCTTGGTTAAATTTATTCCTAAATAAATTGTAAGTGGGGTTGCTTTCTTAATTTTTCTTTCTTTTAGTCTGTTGTTAGTGTGTAGAAGCACAACAGATTTTTCTACATTGATTGTGTACCCTGCAACTTTATTCTATTCATTTATTATTTCTAGTAGCCTTTTGGTGGAGGCTTTTCTATATATAAAATCACATCTGCAAACAGTAACAGTTTTACTTTTCCAATTTGGATTCCTTTTCTTTTTCTTGTCTGATTGCTGTGGCTAAGACTGCCATTACTGTGTTGAATAAAAGTGGCCAAAGTGGGCATCTTTGTCTTGTTCCTGATAAACCGTCCTTTTTTTGCATTTATGTTATTTTTGGAGCACACATCAAGGCCGTGCCAGTTGACACTCTCATGGGTAACAAACAGATGTCCTCTTTTCACCCATTCTTAAACAGTGATGTGTGGACAGTTGTCACATGCTCATTAACCCCATGTGTTTCTCCTTGTGCGAATGCATGCTCATTGATGGGTCCGTGTGTGTACGTGCGTGCATGCGTGTGTGTTCGCTCCCAGCCCGAGCATAGCAGGTGTTGTCTTTGACCTCCGGCATGTGACAGGGTGTCTTGTGTCCTTGCCCATTTGGCTGTGTGGGGTCACCCATGTTTACTTATTGGTTTGTGCGACTCTTTGCACAGTTGTTACTAAGCAAAGAGCCTTTAGCTGGGAGAGAGGTGCAGTGGACATAGCTGAGTTATTCCCACTACCCGGTGAAGCCTGGATGCCTCATTGGGTGCTGACCCGTCCTTGGTGTGTGCAGGACTGCACCCTGAGACTCTGGCAGTACAGAAGCGGCCGCGAGTTGCATTGTTGTCACCTGCCCAGCCTGCAGGAGCCAACGGAGCCCTGGAGCAACAAGGTAACCTCACGTTTGTCTCTGGTTTATAGGGCGTCTCTCCAGTCATGGATCCTGTGGAAAAAATTCGTTTTACGTTGGAAAAGTGTTTTTCCTGTCAATGTAAACTTCTTCCAGCTTGAGAGGAATCGTGTATTTCAAATTCTGAAGGCACCTAGTCATGTAAATGGGAAAAAATTTATATCTTACCATGTTTGCATTCAAACCACTAATTTACAGAAAGGCCTCTAATCCTGCTTGGAAATGGATAAAATAGTGGTGCCTGGCGGGGAGCTGAGCATGCCCAGGATTCCCTACCTCTGTCCATCGTGGGTCAACCTCATGCCCCCAGGATGGTGCACTGGCCAGTGCATCCCCAGGTCAGGTCACCTGAGCCTTCAGCTGTCAGGGGATCTGCAGGGGAGAAGGTGTGGGCTGCCTTTCAGGCTCTCGGGGTTCTTCGCTCTGATGCTCCCGTGCGGGTGCCCTGTTTGGCTGGGGTCCAGCTGATCACACGTGGACGGTTCTGGCAGCTTCCAGAGGCCCAGCTGGGCCTGGTGGGGAGGGAGGGTCTGCTCACGCGTTTCCAGGGCCTGCAGAGCTGGCCTGGGGGCTGGGGTCATGATGCGCAGGGTGGCAGCCTGTGGCACGGGGCTTTGCTGCGTGTCTAACGAGACCTGGGCCTGAACTGAAGGGCTCTCCTCCCTCGTCCTTGGCTTCTCGGTTCTCTCGTCCACCCCGAGACCTCTCTCTAGCACGTGGGCAGGTAGGCCTGATGTGGGTCAGAGCCCCAGGACCCCAGGACCGCGGCCACCCAGCCCAGTGGCTGCAGGGCCCTCTGGGTCAGTGGCCTCCAGCTGCTCTGGCTGCCCCCGTGCGCGCCTCCGCCTTGGGTTTCTGCAGCCACGGTGCCCCCGTTAGAGCTGTGGCAGAGAGAGGCCTGCTCGTTCTGCCTTCTTCCCGTCTGCGCTCTGCTCACCCCTGACGCCCCTGGACGGCGAGGAGAAAGCGTAGAGGGGAGCAGGGGCCAGGGCAGCCCCCGAGAGCTGTGCGTGGGCCTGCCGTGCCCCCTGCGCCTCTGCTGGCTCCCAGCCCAGGCTGCTTTCTCTGCCGGAGCGTGTGGACGCCCACATGCACGCCTTTCTTTCCTCCCCGTGTGCTCTGTCCTCCCTCCTTTTTGAGCAATTCCATTGGCCTTGGAGATGTGGCACAGCTCCGGAGGGAGGGCCAGAGCCACGGAGCGGCCTCTGCCGTCTGCCCTGTGTGTCGGAATTCCCTGTGAGCTGTGCCCTCACTGGTGTCCAGAGAGTCCTGCAGTGTCTTCTCTTTGCCTGTCATGGACCACATGTGGGGACTGTCCGTCCTGCAGCGATGCTCGCAGTTTGAGCAGAGCAGCCCGGCGTCAGGTCCTGCCAGGCTGACACCCCTGAAGCCGCTGCTTTTCCTTTCAGAGGTTTGCTGCGTCCAGGATCACTTACTGGCGCCAGGAGGACTGCGTGGCGCTCCTGTGTGACGGGTGAGCCCGCGCGGCCCGTTCGGGAGGCTTGGACGGCGACGCTGGCGTGGCGTCTGCCTGCAGTGAACTTCGCTTTACGAGCCCTGCTGCTGCGGGCCGGGCGGCTCCCTTTCTGTGCGCTGCATCTTAATCCGCTAGGGTAAAGGGAGCAGTGGCCCCCGGCTGGTCTTCTGTGCAGATAGAATCCCAACGAAGGGTCGGCTGTGGTAGAGTCCACCTCAGCCAGTCCCAGTTGGGCATGAGAGACCCGTCGGGGGCTGGCGGTGCTGACGAGGTGGGTGTGGGGGGCACGGGCCACTCAGCGTTCCCTCCTGGGCCTTGTCTGCGTGTCGGGGGGGGCGTTTGGGGGCCTCCCACATTGTCACTTGTCCTGACAGCAGGCCTGGGGCGGGCGGCTGAGCTCATGTTGGAAATGAGGACGCAGGATTAGAGAGTAAAAAGCCTGCTGGGGAGGGCTGAGCGCGGCCCGGGGTCCCGTCCGCTGCTTGGCGGGCAGGGCGGCTGTCTCACTTGCACGGCTTCGACTTTGCTGCCTAGTAAGCTGCCCCGGACTTCGGGACTGGAGCGTTCGTTAGCTCACAGTTCCCGGGGTCGGGGAAGCGGGAGTGGCTTGGCTGGGGGCTCCGGGCTCAGGGCGTCCCGAGGTTGCCGCTGAGGTGTTGGCGGGGCTGGCCCGGGGCTGAGCGCCCCCGTGGGCGCTGTCGTGATCGTCCCCTCTCTCCCTGGGAAGGCTGCCCGTGGTCTGCCTCTTCCAGCTGGATGTCCCCCGGCGGCAGCTGGTCTACCAGCAGCAGCTGACTTTCCAGCACAGAGTGTGGGACGCCGCCTTTGAGGAGGCCCGGGGGCTGTGGGTCCTGCAGGACTGCCGGGAGGCCCCCCTCGTGCTCTGCAGGCCTGTGGGCGGCCAGTGGCAGGTGAGATGGGCGGCCCCGCTGTTTCCGTCGACCACGCCCGTGCCAGCGGCTGTGTCCTTGGGGGACAGCGGCCACAGGGCTTGCGGCTTGGGTGCAGGGAGCTGGGTGCCTGGCCGGGTTCTTCAGTGTCACGGTGCCTGCACGGGTGTCTCGGGGGTGAATTGCTGTCATTGGTATGTATTTCCTGTGATTGTTCTGCTGACACGTCTTTTTAGGAGAAAAGCCCGCAGTTGGTGAGCCCTGGGTGTGTATCCTTAACATTTGCAGCCTCAGTGCAGCCTTGCGCTGGGGCAGTGGTCCCGCTGGACAGTGAGGGGGCCCCTCCTTGCAGGTGGCCTGGGTGAGCCTGTGCGTAAAGCAGGGATGTCACCTCCCGCCTGTCCTGTGTCTAAGGTGCCATGGGGAGAAGCAGGTGACACCCGCAGAGCCCTTTGCAAACTTGCACGGCCTTGACGAGTGCTCAGAGCGCCCGACAGCTCGCTCGGGGGTCTTTATCTGAAAACTAGCAGTGAGCGATGCCGCCAGCCGGCGCCTGCCAGGTTCCAGGCACCTTGGGCGGAGTCCTGCGTGGCGAGCCGCGGTCGCTGCCATGCCTGATGAACCGGGGAGAGTGGCCTTTCCGCCTCCTGTGAGTACAGGGGTCGACCACTGTCCACCGGCCTCTTTCCAATAAAGGTTTTCCGTTCGTCTTCTCAGTCTCTTCCTGAAAGTGCTGTGTCGAAGAGGGTCTGTGCTCACCTTCGCGAGAACTGGGCCATGTTGGAAGGTGAGGACCCGCCCTGGCCTGCTTTGCAGGGTCATGTTCAGCCGTGGGCGCGGGCGGACGCTGGTTCCAGAGCGCGGAACGCAGCAGGAAGCTGTTCTGTGGGTGAGGGTGCAGGGCCTGTGGTGGGTGCGGTGTGTGTGTCCGCGTCCGCGTCAGGACAGCAGAGCTGCTGTGAGCCGGGGCCTGGTTGGTTCCCTTAGCGGAGATTCAGGCGCCGAGAGCCCCTCCGTTTGTATTGGCAGAAGGCAGGCTCTTGGGACGCAGCTCCTGGCTGTGTCTGGGGGTGCTTTTAACTCGGCCCTGGAACTCAGGTGCCTTTACTCGACTAAAGAAATGATTGCTCAGAAGACTTCTTGGGAAGACAAGCCACCGTCCGGATGGAGGCCTGGGTCCTCCGAGCTCTGGGGACACAAACGCAGCTTCGGTGTGTATAGACGCTAGAGCGGCCCGCACATCCCACTGTTTCTGTGGGTCCTGCGGGGTCTGCATCCAGCCGCTTGGTGGTTGGCAGATTTCAGGTCCCCGCTTGCTGTTGGCTGGAGGACACCCCAGTCCCCAGTGCAGAGGAGCAGGGGCACGGTGCCGACAGGACACAGCCACAGCCTCTGCACCTGGCCTCCCGGGGACCCCTGGGCCCCGCATGTCCTGTTAGAAGCGAGTCCTGGGTCCAGCCAGGTGTGGCCACCAGGAGGTGGGCATCCTTGGGGCCATGCCAGAGGAGGCGCCACAGGTCCACGGAGAGCCGGGTGGTCACTGTCGCAGGAGGGTCCCTCCGGCCCACCACGTCCCCCGCTAGAAGCAGAGCCCCTGCGCTCCTGTGGCACACTGGCACCCATTCTTGTTCCGCACAGGCTCTGCTGGCACGGACAGTGGCTTCAGCAGCCTCTACAAGGCCACCTGCGACAACATGACCACTTACCTGAAGAAGAAGGAGGAACGGCTGCAGCAGCAGCTGGAGAAGAAGCGACGCAGGGGGCCACCGCGCGGGTCCAGCGGGCAGACCAAGAAGATGAAGGCGGGGCGCGCACCACGGAGCTGCTCGTCCTAGCTCGGCTCGGGGTGCTCCTCGGGGGTGCTCGGCGCCTTGGGGCGGCGGGACGCTGTGCTCGCCCCTCCTGCCCGCAGCACCCTGACGCAGGCAAAGGGGGGACCTCATTCCCGACTTGGGCTGGGGGGCGGCGAGGTCCATCCCGACTCAGCGGACACCTGGGGCCGTGCCGGGTAGCTGGACGTGGGACCCTGGGCTCTGGAACATTCTGTTGCTGAGCAGAGCCCTCTGGCTGGAGGGAGGCCATGCAGCGTGCTAGCCGCTATGCCTGAGCAGTGAGGGCCTCCGAGCCCCTTCCCTTCACACTGTGGCGCTGTCCTTTCCTGCTCGTCCACGCGGCTTCCTCTAGGGGAGCCTGGGTGCGGACGGACGTCTTTCCAGCAGTGCGGTGCTTTTCTCCAGTCCCCTCGCCCTCCTGGATGGTCCACTACGCTGTCCAGCAGGCGGCTGTGCGCCGCGGGGCCCGTAAACCTGAGGGGAGTTAAGTCCTCGGTTCCCTGGGCAGCGCTGGCTCCGGTGCTCAGGCCCCTCCCCGCCGGCGCTGGTGGAGACGGGAGCTTGTCCGCGACGCGTGCGGACAGAGAAGCCCGGCTGCGCGCTTTCTCCGCAGGGAAGTGGCGGGTGACGCTGTGTACGTTTGATTTCGGTTTGCACTTCGTGCACGTGCTGCAGAGCAGGGGGTCGGCTGAATTCTAATCACTGATCAATAAAGATGAGCTTTTTTGCAGCTTCTAGAAATTTTAGCAGCAGCACCTGGAGCTAATCTCAGAATATATTGAGTGGAACCATTTGTGATGAGTGCGCTGTTTCCGACCAAAACGTTTGCCTTTTGATTTGAAGAAAAACATTTCTTTGGTTTGGGGTTTCACAGGGTACTTGGACACAAGTCATTTTGTGTATCAGAAGCTGCAAGGCTTCCAGCTTTTCCTCGGTGCCTTGTTTTACTTTAAACATTGATCTGAAAACATGCTGTTTGTGAACCGCCCGGGGTAACTTCCCACAAGGGACATCAGGACCTCCCCAGACTGGGGGCTGTCTCGGGCAAAGGAGAGCAGAGGGGGTGTGCCTGGGATGGAATGGGGTCCCCAGGGCAGAGTGGGGTGCCCTGGCCATGGTCCTGGAGGGGGAGCCTGACCTCGTGAGCACTGCATCGGGCCCAGGAAGCGTTTTTGATAATAGTCTGCTCTGAATTCTTGGTTTTAGGAGCAATTTAGGTTTGTTCTTGTTGGTGTCTTTGTCTAAGATAGGGGTCAGCAAACGGGCTCGCAGGCCACATGCTGCCTGTTGACCAGTTTTCTGTGGTCTGTGAGCTAAGCGTAGTTTTTACATTTTTAAAGGGTTGAAAAAAGTCAAAAGCAAAAGATTTCGAGATGAGTGTCCATAACTAAAATTTTACTGAGACACGCCCACGCCTGCTCGATTGGGGGTGGTCAGCGTCGGCTTTGGGGCTGGAGCCGCAGAGTGGGATGGGTGCCTCGGAGACCGGATGGCCTGCACAGTCTACAGCCTTGATTTTCTGGTCCTCTACAGAGAGCCTTGCCAGTCCCTACCGCGCTCTCTCTCAAGTCTGTGCAGTTATTTCCTCCTGTGCAGGAACCGGTTAATTTCACCGCGTTCCACGTGGTCCCTGAGGGCAGCTAGGGGAGCAGCCTCTGGAAGCCCGGTGTCCCAGCTCCGGGCAGCAGGGGTGGCGCTGAGGGGTGTGTGAGGCTGGCCTCTTGCACCTGATTGGGAGGCTCAGACTTAACGATAGCGGCAGTGCCAGGCAGCCTGTCCGGGAGAGCAGAGCACAGGTGAGAGGGGCCACGAACATCTCCCGCCTTTCCGGGGGTTGCTTTAAAGTTACTTGCGTTCTGATCGAAGCTACACACGCACGTGTCAGAGACCAGGCTGTACTGACGGGCTGACTGTGACTGTGGTCTGGTCTGCTGCTTCTCCCACACAGCCCCGCCCCACTTGGTGATCCGTGCCTCCGTTCCCGGGGCTTCGGCCGCTAGAGGCCCGGCAGCAGGTGTGGGGGGGGGAGGGGGAGGGAGGCAGCGGCCTTCTCTTCTGCTGCGGTGCCCGTTCCCGTGGGCTGCCTCCCTCTGGGACTGTCGCCTCCTGGGGGCCCTGGCTCCACCCAGCCCCAGGGGCAGACGTGGCTTCTTCTTGGTCCTGAAACCCCGTCCGCGTCTCTGGAACTAGCGTCTCCATCAAAGGACCTTAACGAATCTCAGGTGAGTGTGAGCTGAATTCTCGCTGGAAGCCTGACTTAGGAACCGTTCCTGCTCATGTGCCCCCGGTTGTCCCGAAGTTTCTCCTATGGTTGGCGGAACCCAGACCCGTGAGGAGCCAGCTGTTGGATTTCCTGGGTTTTCGTCTCTTACCTCTTCACCCATAGCAGCAGCATCCCTGCTTCCCTCCGTGGCTTTGCCTTGAGAAGACCGGTCCATCGTCATCTGGTTAGAAAAGCGGCTTCTTCCGGTTTGTCTGTTGAGCCACGGGGGCTGAGGAGTTGAGTTGGCTTTCTTACCCCTTTACTTATCTCTATTTTCCGTCCTTTCTCAGTGTCCGTGTGTTTTGCGTTTGGGGAGATTCCCTGGGCTTTGTTCCGGCTCATTTACTGATTTTTTAAAAACCTGGTCACCACAGTTGTGAATTCGAAGTGGTTTTGTTCCTTCGTTTTCATCCTAGTGAACGGCTGGCGAGTGTGCCCGGAATGGGTAACAGTCCCAGCCAGAGCCAGGACGCTCAGCAACAGCAGAGTGGTCCCCAGGTTCCCTCCTGACAGTTACCGCCGACCCCCCACCCCTACCCCCAGGCCAGGCTGACCCAACGCGCTGGTTCGCCACCTGTCGTGCTGTTGTGTACGGCTGTGGTGTTCACTGTCACTGCTTCCTCGCGTGAAAACACCACAGCGCGCTCACCCCACTGTCACGTGGGCATTTGAGTAGTTCGCACGTCTGGGCTGCGGGGAGCGAGCTGGTCGCTGTCCTGGAACACGCGTAAGCGTTTCTCTCGGGAGGGCCCTTGCTGGCCTGCAGGCACTTGGACAGCACCGCCCACCCTCGTTCATTTCAACCCCCACTGTGAACGGACAACGCACACCTCGGTACATTCTCGTGCTCAGCCTTTGAGGTTTAACTTTGCAAAGGGGCAGACTTGGAGTTATGGGCCGCTGTGTGCGGGCCAGTGAAGCAGCCCACTTCGTGTCGAGCCCACCCTGTTCTCACCAAAGGCGCCTTAACAAAGCGTGGATCACCGCTCGGGGGGGATGCCAGCACACGGTCGTGGGGACATTCAGGCCTGCCAGTAGATCACCGTGGCAGGGAACTGAGGCCTCCTGCCAGCAGCTAGCGGCGGACTGTCTTGGGAGAGCTTTCTTGTGTAAATAGAGAGAATGCTGTGGATTTGTCTCCTGCAGCACTGTTACTTGAGTTCTGTACGTGTTGCCGTGCATTTTTCTTTCTAATTTCCGTTGTGATTTCTTTGCCGCATGGGCTGTTTGGAAGTGTGGTTAAATTCCCAAACGTTGGATGTGTTTTCTTCAGATTCTTAAAATTGATTTCTGGTTTTAATTCCATTGTGGTCTCGATATACTTTGATTCCTTTCCTTTTAGATTTATTGAGCCTTGTTTTATGCTCCAGTATGGTGGCAGTTTCACGTGCCCTTGAAGAGAACATGTCCCATCGTTGCTGGCTGGAGGAGTGTTCTGTAAATGTCCATCAGGTCAAACCGGTGATGCTGTTGGTTGTTACCAGTTTCAGGAGCACAGCCATCCTCCTAATTTCTGTGTACCTCTCTCATGTACTGAAAGCAGTACTTAAATGTCTGATTGTGGAACTAATTTTCCATTGTCCTAGTGGTTTTTGATTCTGATATTAGGCGCGTACACACGTAGGAGTAGTGTGTCATCGTCTTGAGTGATGCCTTATCATTCTGAAATATCCCTCTGTCCCTAGTCCTATTCTTTGTTCTGAAGTGTAGGTTATCCTGTGAATGCAGCCACTCCAAGTAAAAAGTTAGTGTTAGCATGGAATTTCTTTTTTCATTCCTTCTAACCTATGTATGTATTTATATTTAAAGTGTTTGTTTTTTTTTGTTTTTTTGTAGACAGTCTCTTCTTATCCTCCCAATTTTGGATTTCAGTGGGAATTCAGCTGAGCCATATATGTAATTTAAAGTGTTCAGTAGTCACTTTGAAAAGTTTGAAAAAGCAAATAAAATTTTGAGAATAGTCTTTAACCAAATATAGCAAAAATAGTGTTTCAGCATATAATCTATATAACAGTTATTCATGAGCTATTTTACATTCTATTTTTAGTCTTAATTGTCAGAAATATGGTGTGTACTGTACATAAGGTTCCTCTTTCAGAAAGCCCTGGTAGCCTAGATAAACTGACTGCGTGAATGACCTTGCTTTGCCCTTCCCACAACCTAATTCCCACTCTTAAGCCTCAAAGTAGCCAATAAACAGTGAACCCTTGAAGCCCTAGGCACCCCAGCGCCGACCCCAATAGAGGCAGCGCCCCAGGCTCATGCGTTTGCACGGTCACTCTCTCCTCGGCCTCGCTGTGTGGCCCTCGGGCATGCTGTGCCCTCTAGGACTGAGTAATAAACCTCATTGCTCAAAGTTCCCTGATGGCTTTTGCTGAAGCGTGTCCTGCAACCGTAAGAACCAGACAGGCTGGTCCAGCCACAACCTTGGCTGTGGTGGGGAAAACGTCTGGGGGCTCGCTCTAAGTAATTCGGGTTGTATGAAGCACACGGGCGGTTTTGTAAGAAAGCTCCGTACCATTTTCCAGAGTGGGTGTGTCATTTTACATTCCTATGGGTGATGCACGTTGACCCAGTTTCTCTGCATCCTCACCAGCATTTGGTGTCGTCACTGTTTTATCTTAAGTGAGTTTTGAGAGTTCTTTATTCAAGTTCTTTGCC